AGTCATCTTAGCTCAGAGAGGCGGGAGAGAGTATCAGGGTGAGAGCAAGAATGTGTGTAACCATGGGAATTTGTGCAACTTGTGGAGTAGGTGTACATGGGGTGAATTGAGTGGATATGGGTGTGGGGGGTGTATATAAGGATATATGTGAATATGTAGGAGTTGGTGTGAGTGTGCACGTGGGTGTTAGTGTGCCTATGCAGGTAGATATTAGAATACATGCACTATGTGGATGATAGCATATATGTGGATGTTGGTGTTTGCAAGTGGGTGGATGTTAATGTGTGTGTCAACCATGATGTAGGAAAGATGGATACTGGTGCTGTACGTAGGTACTGATGTGAACAAACCTGTGCGTATGTATCCTAGTCAGCTTTTCTGTTGCTCTGATGAAACACTCTAACCAAAAGTAACTTGGGGGTTTCTTTCAGCTTACACTTCCAGGTCCCAGTCCATCATTGAGGGAAGTCAAGGCAGGAACTCAAGCCAGCGATGAAGCAGAAGCCATGGAGAACAGTGCTTGCTGGTTCCTGGCTCACTCCTAAGCCCAGGACCACCTGTCCAAGGAATAGTTCTGCCCATAACAGGCTGCGCCCTCCTGCAGCAATCAAGAACCAAGTCAGCCAGCTGGTGGTGCACACCTTTAATCCCAGCACTCAGGAGGCAGAGGCAGGCGGATCTCTGTGAGTTTGAGGCCAGCCTGGGCTACAGAATGAGTTCCAGGACAGCCAAGGCTACACAAAGAAACCCTGTCTTGAAAAACAAAAATAAACAAACAAAAACAAGCCAATTCCTAGAGCTAGAGAAATGGTTTAGTAGTTAAGAGTACTTGTTCTTGCAGAGGACCTGGGTTCAATTCCCAGCACCCACATGGCAGCTCACAACCATCTGTAACTCCAGTTCCAGGGGATCTGACACCCTCTTCTGACCTGTGTGGGCACTGGCACACATATGGTCCACAGATGTACATGGAGGCAAAATATCCATACACATAAAATAAATTTAAAAAATAAGATAATTCCCCACAGACATGGCCATAGACCAGTCTGTGGGGCGTTTACCCACCAACCCCACAGTTCCCCAGAGTTTTCTTGAGTGCGAGCAGCAGGAAATATTAGAAGGATTTATATTGCGGAGATAAACAGATAGAAAATAAAGGATAGCCTCGAGAGGGCCTGGAACCTTTTCCAATGGGTCCTGACTGTCTCTGCCCCAGGATATTTATAGAGACACCAAGGGGGTGAAGCAAAAGACACCCTCCCCAGCACAACCAAGTGCAGACCATCTCAGATACCTGCACTCAAGCCTGTGGTCCTAATCATCCTCTCTATGAGGACCTGCTGGGTAAAGCCATGAAGAACCTGAAAATGGGCTCCCACACCAGTCGGACCTGGGTAATCACTCAGTTGAAGTTCTCTGTTCCCAGGAGACTCTAGGTTGCATCAGGTCAATAATAAAAACTAATCAGCACAATGTATATGTTGTGTTAGTATGTGTGCAGTGTTAATGTGTAAGCATGAATGTGTGGGCACTGGGATGAGTGTTCCTGTACAGATGTTAAACAGATGTTAATGTTTGTATTTATGTAGGTATTGTGTATCTATATATTCAGGTATTTGTATATGAGTGAATGTTGGTATGAGCATGTATAGATGGTGTGTGTGTGTGTGTGTGTGTGTGTGTGTGTGTGTGTGTGTGTGTGTATGTGTGTGTTGGTATATGTACAGATATGAGCATACATGTGTGCATGTTGATGTTGCATGTACATGTGGCTGTTGGAACAGGTGTAGGTGTGAGTGTACACGTGGTAATTGGTGTGAGAGTGGCGGGTGATGCTCTAGCATATGATTTGCTATGTGGTATGTGTTCCCAGGGGCAGGCAGGTGAAGAAAGTCCAGGTTTTCCTCACCACTGATTCTGGAGTCAAAACTTCTTAAAGTTTACAGCCCCAACTGCATGAGAATGGTAAGATCTGGCTCATGGCTCCAACTCCCAGATTCCTTCTTTACAATTCTTAATTATAGGTAGAGGCTGGTATATCCCTTCTACATGGGGTCCACAGATCTTATTACAGTCCTGGACACACATGAACATCCCTGTTCTAGATGCCTTTTGTACCCATAAATTTCACAAAGATGCCCGCATGCTCCACAAAGCCTTTGATGGTAGCAGAGTGCTAAGATATATCACCTCACAGCATTGTTGGAACTGGATGAAGTGATGCTTGGAGACTCAACCTCCCCTGTGGACATCTGGGGAGACTGAAAAACTACTGAAGGGACCCCAAAGCTGGAACAACCAGAAGTGAGGTGCTGGGCCCAGACACAGATGCAGAGCAGAAACCCAGGAGTCCACAAATAAATGACCAATTGCCCATGCAGAAGTATCCTAAATCATTCATGCAGGCAATGGCCCTGGGCAGGTAGAGCATGACTCCACCCCGCCAATGTGGGCTCTGGCCACAGGAAACCAGTCCCAACCTGTATCCATCTCCAGGGGGCTCAGCCAAATTATACCACTGTCAAAACTTGCCTGAACCACACACACACACCCCTTCACCACTGTCCCATCTCCTCTCACACAGGAACATCTTCAAGCCTTCTAAACAGCACACCAGATACTGCAATCTGGGAGAGGCTCTGTTGCGGTACTGAGCCCTAATCTTTTGGTACCCTCCCAAGCCTGGGCCCACCATGTGCACCATGTTGCGGACACACAACAGCCTGGGACCACTCAGAGGTGAGCTCAAGAGCTTGGGGACACCATGATCCTCTGTGTTTGGGTTTGGAATGTCCTCCAAAAGTCTCCTTGTTGAAAGCTTGGTCCTGACAACAGCAATGTTAGGAGAAGGGGCTTTGGGGGCATGATTGGATCATGAGGTCTCTGATCTCTTAGATGGATTAAGTCATTGGTGAGTTCATATTGAATAGACTACTGGGAGCTGGTAGAAACTGTAGGAGGTGGGGGCCTGGCTGGAAGAGGTAGATTCCTGGGAGTTTGCCCCTGAAAAGGGTGTAACTTGTCCCATATCCGTGTTCTCTCTTTGCTTCCCGGACACTGAAATGAGCAGCTTTGTTCTACCATGTACCCCGCTGCCCTGATATTTTGCTCCATCATAGGTCCAGAAACAATGGAGCCAGCCAAGCATGGCCCAAAACCTCTGAAATGTGAGCTAAAGAAATCTCCTCTCACTAAAGTGACTTTCTCGGGTGTCTTAGCACAGTGATGGGAAGCTGACTAACACTCATAGTCAAGTCCAAGAGCCTAGTTCTTCCAAGCCAGAAGCCCAGAGTCCACGTCACTCATTCCCCCGACTCCCCAGCATTACTTTTGAGTCCGTGCTCTTATTTTCTATATTTACTCTTTTATAAAACCACGACATCTTGGGTGCCTTACTATTTGGAAAAACCAGTCTTTCCACTGTGAGCTAGTTAACTCCTGGTGTATAAATATGTCTTTGTTATGTAAACCGACTAACGTAAAGCCCACTTCTTCATTTAACTCTCCCCAAGCCAAGGGTCCCTGACCTCCAAACCCCACAGGACAAGGTACTTGGTCAGTACAGACACCCTCCTCTATCCTAGCCTATGGAAGTTGAACTCTCTACCCCCATACTTGTTCCTACTCACCTACCCTGCCTCACCCATTCCTTCTCAAAGAGGCTACCACAGGCCCTCGTTCCTTGGAAGCATCCTGACCATCCCCTACCTAGCCCTGCACACAACAGCAGGATATACTTCCTATTGGGATTGTGAGTGGCACACGCAACTCTCTCTCCATGTCTGCCAGCCTGCTGTATCAAATTAAACAAGCCCAGGTATACTCACCCTTACTCCTTACCTCAGGTGTGTGGGAAGCATCCAGTTGCTGACTTCGAGGGGAAGTGGCTGGGGCCTACCTGGCTAAGACAACAGACATGGCTACAGGCCTGTGCTCTGACATCTCCTTCCTCAGTCTTTTTGGATGTGGTCACGCTCACCGCCTTGTTTTCATCACCCTAAAGGTTGACTCCCAAAGGGGCAAGCTGGTGACACCACCACTGAGCCAGAGCCAAGGGCTTAGGCAGCTCCAGGTGGCTAGACCCTCCCCTGGTATCAGGTTTGACCTCTTCCTTCACCAAGACCCAGCACTCCCTTCAACCGACAGGCATCTCAGAACTGAACACATATACCGAGCAGAGCGGGGGGTCCCTCGAGGGTGTCACTCAGTATTCTGGCTCCAACAATTTAGTGAGCAAGACAGAAGCCCTACCCTCAAAACTCAGAGGCGAGCATGGGGACCAGCTGGGGGTGGCTACCTGCCCTGCCTGAGCCACCTCGGCTCTCAAACTTGCCAAGAGGCACACCACTCCAGGTCTTTGTGTCTGGATCCTTAGGCCCAGCCCTGCTGATTCACTGAGGGTCCATCTGTTGGCTGCAGGGCTGACTCTACTGACTGTAGGGCAGTGTATGTGCACACGGGGGTACCTGTGGGTGGGAACTGATGTGAAACCTTGCCACTCCGGCCAATATCCAAGAACATCATAGGCCTCCTCGGTCCCAAGTACTAAGCCCCATCAGCACTCAGTGATCCCTTCCCTGTGCTGCTGGTCCTTTCTTAATTCCTGTATCACGGAGCTTGTCCTGGGTCCAGTCCATGCTCAGTCACACAGGCCAAACGCAGACTTAACACACACTGTTGTCATAGACCAAAGTCCCTAACTTTGATTGCAGAGCCTTCCATTCTGATAGGTTCTGCAGGTTCCACAACCATTTTGCCTCCAGCTCTGCATTTGCGGGGGGACCCAAAGCAGAAGAGGACTTGCTGGTCCTTTCAAGGGAGAGACTGAGGCCTTCAAGGATGCTGTGCTACCTCTGAGGGAAAGGCAGGTGGCCACAGTCCTTGAGTTAAGGGTCCTGGCATTAGCCCAGTCCCGGGGTTCTATTCATAAACACTGATCCACAGCTCTTGCAGGCCAGCAGAGACCAAGACATCTCACCACGCCCTCAAAGAGCCAAAGGTAAGGCAAACAAATAAATAAGCTTTTAATAAGGCAACAGGTGCCCGGCAACTGTGAGCGGCCCGAGTAGCTGGGTGCCCAGGGCAAGCGCAGGCGTGGAGGAGGCTTCTCCCCACTGTAGCTGGGCAGACAGCTTTCCGTGCGGGAGGACGCGGGTGGCCCCCGGGTTTGGAACAAACACGTTTATTGCAGGAAGGGTGAGGCGAGCGGCTCACCAGGCGAAGAGTGGCTTGCTGTCTTCCTTGGAGAGTTCACACAGGCAGTTCAGCAGCAGCAGGGAGTCACCCAGGAACTTGGGCGGCACAATGTCAATGACCAGCTTGCGCAGCGCGGCTGGGCTGCTGTGCAGCGGGTTGGCCCGCAGGTCTGGACGCTGCTTCAGGATGCCGTAGGTATTGATGAGAAACTCACTGAACACCGGGTGCACTTCGCGGCTGTAGCCCAGCTTCTCCAGGCGTGCGGTCAGGGTCAGATAACGATGCGTCAGCTCACGCAGCTTCTTCTCATCCACGGAGCCATCTAGGGACTTGATAGATGTCTGGGGACACAGAGGAGTGGAGACAAGGCACTGGGTCAGAAAAGCCTCTGACCCTAGTGGAGGTAGGTGGGACAGGGCAGACTTGGAGGCTTAGCGGGGAAATGGAGGCCCTCGGCCCCTTTCAGCATCCTTCAGAAGGATGAGCCCTTCCGGGTCTTCACTTGGACCCAAGAAGAGTCAGGGGTCTTCAAGAACTTGTCAGCACTAGGATGTACTCCCAGTACCAGCCCTGACCTGGGGCAACAAAGACACTGTACCTGCTTGATCTTCTCAGGGATGTTGGATACTGTGAAGCCGTAGAGGCGAGTCACCCCCGGAAACACATAGGCCAGGATACGCCGGTCAAGCTGGAACGCGATCTCCCCGACGATGCGGCCATCCTTCTCCGCACCCGCAAAACTCTGAATTTCTGGATGAGATAGGTGCCATCCTGACCATTTCAAGGTACTAAGGTACCTTTGTTCCCCCATGGCCAGAGTAAATAAAAATCTTTAAAAAGCTAAGATGTTTGGAGCTGGAGAGGGCTCTCTCTCTCCTCTCTCTCTCTCTCTCTCTCTCTCTCTCTCTCTCTCCTCTCTCTCTCTCTCTCTCTCTCTCTCCTCTCAGCATGCTTTCCCTGGGACCTGGGCACACTGTTCCATTCTCTGTCGGAGATGCCATAAGGCACGTGAACCCAAAGAAGACAGTGGGGTCCCTGGGGAGGATAGCACCCAGGTCTATCCAGGTAGACTGGGGCTCTCTACTGTTGTTCTCAGACGCTAGTCTGCCACCCCACCCACTCAGCCTTCTCTGAGGACTGCAGGACCGTCACAGCCTGGCTCTGGAAAGGGCCAGCTCCTTCCGGTCCACAGCACTGCCCTCAAAGACTGGCTGATGTCTAAAGTTCAGTATCAACCCGACCTTGCCCATGTCTGTGGAGAAGATAATGTACTGATAGAAGATTCTCTTCTCAGGGACACTTGAATCCTTCCTCACCCTGGCATCCCCCCTTCCCAAAAAAACAGCCCCCAAATAATCCCTGTGCCTACAGCAGCCTGTGTCATAGAAATCATTATTAAACAATGCAGTATATATCAACATCCTTTCAAAACCTTATGCTCTTTGAAAAATGAACCTTTTCTGAATTTGAGAGCAAAGACCTGTTGTTCATGCGGAAAACACTCTGGTTATCTACAGGGCGCATGTTGGCCTGTCTTTCTGAGGGGGTAAGCCCTCTCAGTCCAACCCCTACCTTACAGAGCACAAGATGGCAGAACAGGTAACTTCCCCTAGGGAACGTCCCACCCCACATCCCACCCCACATCCCACATGCTGCTCTCCTGGCTGCACGCATCCATCCTGACAGAAGACATAGGACAGCATGCTCACACCCAGGCACTTTCCAGACAAGATCTGTGATACGGACCCTGGCAGGATGTCAGTTTGGTGAGGTCCTGGGGGTCTGACCCAAAGGCTGCAACAGTACATGAATGCATGGCTGAGGAAGCCCAGGCCCTGTGCGCACTGCAGTACCTCAACCTCCATACTCAAGACACTGATAACCACGCAGAGAAGTGGGCCCTGGACCCTGCTGCTGGTGCCTTGTGACCCTGAGCATTGTTGGTATGTCCACATCAGCCTGAGACCCAGAATGATGTGCTGTCGTCCTTATAGCCATGATGAAATGAAGGGGCAGACCCAGAGCTAGCTCTGCCTTTGACCTTGGCCAAGCAGTTTTCCATCAGGTATCAGGCCTACCTAAGCCAGGGTCTGTGATACACATTGACCAGGACAACACTGTGCTGAAAAGCATGTACCCCTGTGAATACCAGCTGCTCTGGTTAAGTCAAACAACCAGGAAGAAGCTTAGCTAGACAGGGAAAACGGGAACCCCACCCTGGGCTCACAGAGTAGGGGACAGGGAAGATGAGAAGCCCGCCCACTGCCCTATATAGCAGGGTACTTGGAAGTAGGTTCAGCTAGTACCTCCCTTGCAAGACCAGCCTCTCCCCAAATCACATACTCTATGCGTTTCCTACGTGTGCTCTGTGAAACACTCACTGCAGAGAGACCAAGAACGCACACACAGCCTGGCCTCCTGCACAGACTCCCAGGCAGTAGGAGTCAACGACTTTGGGTTCATGGTACCTGCAGAACGATACTCTCCCCAACCTGTTCTGGTTGTGAAAACAGCCAGAGGGCATAGGGCAGTAAAGAGAGTGAATGTTGCCATTCTCTGTGACCCTGGCTCGGTCTAGTCAGAGGAAGAGAGTGGACACTCGTGACAGAGAACGTCCTTCCTTCCAAGCACGGCAGACCAGCAAGGAGCCAGGCAAACAGCACACCCTTTTTTTATTTCTTAACTCTGGAATAGTTGATTGATCCACGTGAGAATCCTTTGAGGGAACCTCAGAATCCAGTACAACGGAGGCTGGGGTCACATGATTCCCCAGATTAAAAATCCATTATCAGAACGTAATTCACATACTATAAGCCTTACCTCTTTAAGGCAGCCAATTCTATGGTCACTATTACACACAGAGTCATACAGCCATCACCCCTATCTCTTTCAGAAGTTTACATGACCTCCTCCCAAAGCAAACAAACCCTGTACTATTAGCAATCACTTTTCCTTCTCCAGCCCCTGCAAGTACCACTCTGACTTATGGATTTATCTAAGACGGGTGTGTCACATGGGTGGCCCTACATAGTGGGCATCCTTTTGTGTCCGACATCATCCACTTGGCATAATGTTTTCAAGGTCCATTCTTGTGGCACCCCAGTGCTTCCTATTCCTTTTGGTGGTTGGATAACATCCCATCATATAAATAAGCTACATCTTCTTTACCTGCTTCTCAGTTGATGGCTGTTTGTGTTGTTTCCCTTTGGGCTATTGTGACTGAGGCTGCTATGGACACTTGTGTGAAAGTGTCAGTGTGAACAGATGTCCAGTTCTCTGAGTAAATACCTGAGAATGGGATTCCTGGGTCTTAAGGTTTATGACCTTTTGAGGACCTTGGTGATGGCCCTATTTTGCATTTCCATCAGCGCTCAAAGAACCTCTTCCCCCACCTCCTTGCATCTCATACCATTGTTGCCCATTGGTGTTACTGCAGATGGAGACAGAATACGGATGTCCTTGTGGCTCTCATTGTGAGCACGGCTAATGATGCATATGGGCCGGTTAGAGACCTTCTCTGAAGAATTATCAGCCCAAGTCCTTTGTACATTTTTTTAAAAATAGAGTCTTGCTGTGCAGCCCGAGCTGAGCTAAAGCCAGAGATTCTTATGTCTCCATTTCCTAAGTCAGTGGTTCTCAACCTGTCGGTCACAACCTCTTTGGGGTTGAACTGCCCTTTTACAAGGGTTGTATATCAGATACCCTGAATATCAGATATTTACACTACGATTCATAACAATAGCAAAATTAAAGTTATGAAATAGCAGTGAAATAATTTCATGGTTGGGGGTCACCATGACATGAGGAACTGTATTAAAGGGCCATGGCATTAGGAAGGTTGAGAACCACCATCCTAAGTGATAACAGTACAGGAGTGTACCACCACACCTGTAGCCTTGTCCATTTTTAATTGGATTATTTGGTTTCTTACTATTGAATGCAAGGAGGTTTCATTTTGTTTTTTAGGGTATTTTTGTAGATAAAGTCTTACTCTGTAGCCCAGGCTGGCCTAGAAATCACTATGTAGGCCAGGTTACCTTGGAACTCAAGGCAATCCTCCAGGCTATGACCTGGGATTATAAAAGTAAGTCACCTCATCCTGCAAGGGTTCTTATGTATTCCAGAACTATTTCCATACCAATACATTATTTACTAATATTTTCTACAGTGATTTTTCATTTTTTCATGTTCCTTAAAGCACAAGAGGTTTTTCATTCAGAAAAAGAGTTCAATTTATATATTTTTCACGGTTGTGTAAGTTTTTGGTGGCATACCTAAAAATCCATTGTCAAATCTAAGGTAAAGAAGACTGAACCCTGTGTCTAGGTTTTGTGGGCTTTAGAATTCTTAGATCTCTTAGGTATTTTCATATGTTTTGAGCTGGTTTTTGCATATGATGTGAGGTACATCCAAGCTTCACATTTTGCATGTACACTCCCATGTGTTGAAGACCGTCCTTTCTCCACTGAAATGTCTTATCAGAGTTATAACATCAAACTTGAAATGCATGGCCTTGTCACTGGGCTCATCATTCTTTCCCATTGGTAGGTATGTCTGTCCTTATGATAAGTCTTGATTACTGTAACTTTATAGTAAATTTGAAATTGGAAAGTGTGAATCCTCTACTTTATTCGTTTTTTTAAAAGTTGTTTTACCTTTCCTGGATCCCTTATATTGCAATATAAATATAAGGTTCTGCTTATTTTTTCATAAAGAAACTAGCTAGAATTGATAAGAATTGCAATGATCTATTGGTTATTATTGATATTGGCTACTAACCAATATTAAGTCTTCTAATCCACGAACGCAACTGTTTTTAGTTATTTAAAGTTGTATGCCTTTCAATGTGTTTCTTTCTTAGTCACTTTGTACAGTTACAGAAGTTTAAAAAAACAAAACAAACCAGGAATTGGGAACTGAGCTGGAAGCTTCCTCCCTGCTGGCTAGCTTTTACAGTGCTGGAAGGTGACATGCAGGTTGCCGGGGGACAAAAGTCATCAACTCTCTTACCTGGCAGTGAAAATGCTACATTGCCAACCTGACCTGACAAGCAGGATGTGTCCACTGATGCAACAGTGGTGTGATTTCTGTAGGAGTAACCAACCACTTTCTGATTGGATTTGAAGCCTGCTCCACAGGTGGGAATTCATGCATGGTGCTGTAAACCTGGTCAACAGCCCATGACTGGGGAAGTCATCGGCCCTAGAAAGGAACTTACTATTGCTGTTTCCCTAAGTGAATGTGTTGTCAAACTTCCTACTAAATATTTATGTTTATACCCAGGGACTAGTGCTGCTTTCCATGCTGGTCAGAGAAGCTTCCCTCTGCAGTGGGCAGTGGTTAATAAAGAGACTCGTAACTGGTCAAAGTGCTGGGAAAAAAGTTACTGTTGCATGCTCAACCCCAAATGCACATCTTTATCACTCCCCAGCCCCGAAGCTCAGGGAACATTGCCAAGGAAACGGAGGAAAGTATCTATGAACCAGAGGATGGAAGAGTGCCATGAAATGCTGTCTTCTGAACAAGACATAGCCATGCACTCAAGAATTCACAACAGCTGAGCTTGCTGCTTGCCCAAGACCTGCATAATACTGAGAACATCAACATTCTAAAATGAATGGGGAAGGGGCCTAGCTGAGGAGCTGTGGACAGTTGTTGGCAGCTGAAGAAGGGGAATTATCTTTTCTTGGTGGTGTATCCACTTGTAAGTTACCCATGCTCCAATAACTAACCCACTCATCTTCATGCAA